TTATTTATTGATTGCATTCTTATATGGTTAGTGTTATTATTTTTCTTGGAGACAGAAATGTTATGAAATCATTGAAATGTCTAGAAATAAAATATGTTACCTGTCCTACTAACATTTGTCTATATATCTTAATTTTGATGATGAGAAATGACTCTAAAATTATGGTATTTCTGGGGTTTTTTTGTTTGGTTTTTTATTTGGGCCCTTGACTGGTTTAGAAGAGAGTAAAGGAAAAATTACATACATCCTCAACCAAAATGATCAGAACATATTTGATAATATAACATTAATATACATATTTAATGTTAACACAAGTTACTTAGATTTATGAACATTGGCCTCCTTGACGTTGACTGCATTGATGTTAGCTTCTGACTGATTTGGGAGTTGTGTTCTCTGGAGGAACTATACTAGTTGTATAGTTTTAACGTGGAGCGCACAATCTTTTTAGCAGTTTCATCATTCCTTAGAAATACCTTGATGAGAAAAAGCTTAAATTTCTTACAGGAAGTAATGTCCTTTGGATTTTTCATTCCTGATTTTACTTCTCATTTAGTCTTTACTGATCTTGTTATATTGTTTTTCTCACCTAGTGCTGAATTTTTTTTTTTCTTTCTGAGACTTGATTCCCTAGTTAATATAAATTTTTGGAAGCCGACTGAAAATTCTTATAATTGAGATAAGATTGGTTTTGTATACATAATGCTAGAAAGAGTTGTTCAAATGAAGATTTGAACGCTACATTCCTTTTTCCTATTGACTTCCATTTCTTGTGTTCAGCATTGAATAGCCAGAGGAAACAATTATGCTACCAACATTTAAAAGTAATAATAATGATTTGTAATATAGAGTTATATATTGCCCATGATAGTATATCTCATTTAGTGAACTGTAATTTCAGGCTGTCGGAGAATCTCAGTAATCTCTTTGAATCCTAACTGCTCCGCTCCTGTAGTTTTTTGTAAGAGAGTGTGTCGTGTAAGGTGGAGGAAAGAGCCATAGGTCACTGAGTTTCCCTTTTTCCAAATCACTGTCCCTTTGTTAGCGTAGGGCACTTTATTTTGTGCTGTTACTTAGAGCTCTTACCTAAAATGAATACTTT